ATAAAGCGATCTATGATACAATGCAATCCTGATGCAAATCCCAACAACACTCATTAAATAAAAAGAACAAAGCAGGAGACCTTCCATCCCCCATATCAAGGCATACTATACAACCACTATAATCAAAACAGCCTGGTGTTTGTTCAACGACAGACAAATAAGCCAGTACAATTGAATGGAAACTCAGAATTAAACCCAGTCATCCATGTACAATTGAGTTTTTACAAGGGGTCAAATCTATTCATTGGGGCAAAAACAGTCTCTTTAATAAATGGTGCTGGCAAAAGTGTACATCCATGTACAGAAAAATGAAACCGAACTCAGACCTCTCACCACACACAAAAAAAGAACTCAAGTGGATCAAAAACCTAAATGTTAAGTCTAAAACCATGAAATTCCTGAAAGACAACACAGAGAGAAACTATGTGACCTAATCTTTTTTAAAATTAGGATAACAAACATTACCACAAATGCATGAATACAAGAAGGGAAAATAGATAAATGGGACCTCGAAAAATTAAAAACTTATGCTTATCAAAAGACCTTGATTTCAAGATTTAGGGTCATAGTTTCATGGGACATCCCAGTTGATTTGCTTAATAATGTGTTTAATGCTTCTGTTCCACCTCCTAGTTCATTATATAGTGCCTGGGGTCTTAAAAGCTTGCAAGCAGCCATCCAAGGCACAACAATTGGTTTTTCTTCACCTGGAGCAACAAAGAAAGAAGGAGTCAGGCATGGGAGGAGGATATGGAAATGTGTGGCTAATTGGTATCATGAACAACTACCTCCTTTGCCATGAGACCAGAACAGCTGGATGGTGCCTGGCTAGCACTATTGAGCCTTTTGATCAAGGATTCTATAGAGGAATCCTGGTCAAAAGGGGGAAATACAGAACAGAATTTCAAATTCTCATGGACTCCAGACTTTCTGGAGCCATGAAGGTTGGATAAACTCCTTAAAGTATTGCCCTGAGATAATCTTGAAACCTTAAACTAAAAATATCCCCTGAAGTAATCTTAAAACCAAACAACATTTTTAGCTTAATTTGTAAAAAAAAAAAAAAAATCTGCCTTGAGCATTAGGCTCTTTTAAGAACTATCTATTTGGGATCAAATTACCAATGTTGTTGTTGTTGTTATGTGCCATTGAGTTGGACCCAACTCATAGCGACCCCTCCTTAGGTTTCCGAGGCAGTATCACTATGGAAGTAGATTGCCCAACCTTCTTTCTGAGGAGTGGCTTGGTGAGTTTGAACTGCCAGCCTTCTGGTTAGCAGTCAAGTGCCTTAGGCACTATGCTACCAGAGCTCCTAAATTGCCAATAGTACTGTGAAAGATTAGACAAGAACCTTAGGGGTATGGTTTATGATACTGAGGGAGGAACAACTCATGAAAGAAGGGTGAGAATGGTTGTACAACCCAAAGAATGTAATCAATGTTACTAAACAGCATGTGTGGAAACAGTTGAATTGGTATGTATTTTCCTGTGTATATTATCAACAACAACCACAAAATAAGTAAAAGTTAGAAAAAAAGAAGAAACAGACAACCTATAGTCTGGGGAAAAATCTTCAGAAACAAGTTATCCAGTAAGGGTCTAATCTCTAAAATCTGTAGAAAACTGCAACAACTTAACAACAAAAAGACAATGTAATCACAAAATGAGCAAACAACATCAGGAGAACCTTCACCAAAGGGGACATCCAAGCAGCCAACAAACATGAAAAGATTTACCATGATTAGTCACTAGAGAGATAGAAATCAAAACCACAGTGAGATAACATCTTAACGTGGATAAAATTACACTGATTAAAAAAAAAAAAAAAACACAGATAACAAATGTTGGCAAGGATGTAGGGAGACTGGAACCCTTATCCATTGCTGGTGGGACTGTAAAATGGTATAACCACTGTGGAAAATGGTATGGCACTTTCTCAAAAAACCGGAAATAGAACTATCATCTGATCCAGGAATCCCACTTTTAGGTATGTATCCTAGAGACCTAAAAGTAATAATACAAACGGACATGCACAACTATGTTCACTGCTGCTTTATTTACAAAAGCAAATAAATGGGAGCAACCAAAGCATCCATCAGTGGATGAATGGATAGGCAAATTGTGGTCCACACACACAATGGAATAATACTACACAACCATAAAGAACAATGACAGGTCCTCAAAACATAACATGGATGGACCTGGAGGGCTTAACACTAAGTGAAATAAGTCAAGCATATAAAGAGAAATATTGTATGCTACCTCTTTTATAAGAAGAGAAAAGATGTTCATTGGTGGTTACTAGGGAGGGATGGAATGGGGAAAGTATGCCTTATACAGTAGAGACTCAAACCAAAACCAAACTCACTGCCATTGAGTCAGATTCGACTCATAGTTACCCCTCCTTGGGTTTCCAAGGTGGTATCACTACAGAAGTAGATTGCCGAATCTTCCTTCAAAGGAGTGCTGTTGAGTGTGAACCACCAGTCTTCTGGTTAGCTCTCAAATGCCTCAGGCACTATGCTACCAAAGACTAGTCTTTGGAAAAGTGACACTGAATGTGGATGTAGTGAGCACAAAAAAACCAAAGTAAAAAAGGGGTGTTGAGCACATATAGATGGGTATAAGCAAATTGGTATATAGGTAGGAATGTACAAATGTGTACATAGATGAGAACAGATAGGCATATCTATAAAAACCAAACTCACTGTTGTCATATCAGATCTGACTCATAGCGACCCCTTCTTGGGCTTCCAAAGTGGTATCTCTACAGAAGTAAATTACCCTATCTTCCTTCTAAGGAGTGGCTGGTAGGTTTGAACCACCAGCCTTCTGGTTAGCAGTCAAATGCCTTAGGTACTTTGCCACCAGAGCTTTTAGAAGTGTCTTTAGGCCAGAAGACCTAGATGGTGTCCGGCTACCACTGTCAACCACTCGGAGATGGATCTATGTAGGAGATCCTGGACAGAGAGGGAGAACAATGTGGAACAAAACTCAAAATCATTTGGGAGAAAAAAAAAGAGAGGGGACTAGGTTGGCTGGTCTGATAGAGCCTGGTGGAACCACTGAGACTATGGCTTCTAGCTGCCCTTCAGGTCTGGAATTGAACCCAGACCTGTGGCTTCCAGCCACAGGTATATGAGTTGAACATTTACCTGAGGTAGATACACTCCTTGGAAAGAACAATCATGGGAGAAAGAAGGGCTGTTTATGCACAGGGAGACAGCTCAGGGGGCAGGAGTGCATGGAGGGATGGACACAGGTAAGGGGTAACTATCGGGAGGAAGTGGGAGGGGAGCTGTTGCAATATGGTAAATTGTAGTTGATGTTATGAGACAAAGTGTATGTGAACTGCTGTATGGAAAGTGAATCTGCTCTGTAAATTTTCACCCAAATCACAATAAACAAACAAACAAACAAATAAATAAAAGAAGTGTCTATAGGTACATAAAAATACAAATATGTGGGATCAGCACATATATTCATTGAAGACACAAATACAGATACTCCTCAGACATAATCAAACATCTTCTAACATTACTTTTCTGCTTTTGAAGGTTTAGGATAATATTCTCATAAGACAACTCAGTCTATTAGTATAACATAGTTCACAAAAACCATGATCTACATCCTAGTTAAGTGAATAGCATCTGGGGTCTTAAAAGCTTGTGAACAGCCACCTAAGACATAACTATGGGTCTCTACTTGCCAGGGGCAAAATAGAAGAAGATTACCAAAGGCAGAGAAAAGAAACAAGGCTACATGCGCCACAACCTCATCTACCCTGAGACCAGAAGAACTAGATGGTGCTTGGCTATCACCACTGACTGTTCTGACCAGGGTCACAATAGTTGATCCCAGATAGAATGGAAGAAAAATATGGAGCAGAACTCAAATTCTTATTAAAAATAAATAAGAAAATAAAAAAGCCAAACAATCTGGAATAGTAGGACTCCTTGGGACTATCATCCCAAGACATTCTTTAAACCTAGAAATGAGTCTATCCCCTGAGATCACCTTTTAGAGAAAAAGCACAAAAAATAAAGGATACTACCCATAAGAATACAAATGGTGTCCCACTTAAAATCATCAGTATGAGACCAAAAAAACATTTACTCAAAAGCAAAGATGAGGAGATAGGGGGTCAGGGAAAGTCAAGTGCTGGAAAGGGAACAAACAGAACACGAAGAGAATGTTGATACATTGTGATAAATGTAACTGATGTCAATGAAAATTTGTGTGGAAATTGTCAAATGGGAATCTAACTTGCTGTGTAAACTTTCACCAAAAACTCAACAAAATATTATTAAAAAGAAAACCCCATGGATCACAATTTAATCTGCAACTGATCACTAGGACGGCTCAGGACTGGGCAACGTGTCGTTCCATTGTGCCGAGGGTCCATGAATCAGAGGCCAACTTGATGGCAACCAACAACAACAACAGTGGCAGTCCTGTGTCACCAGCTACATGAGAGGTATGTCAGCATGGGAAAAATGACCAGTTCCTTGGAGCTCAAAATCCATGGCACCTTTAATTTGCCCTGAGTTGTTTATTTCATTGTGTAATTTAAGACATCTACAATTATTCCTGGTGATAAAAATTATATAAACACATTGCAGAAAATAGAGAAAAGCACAAAACAGAAAACAGAAATTCCCACAACCCAGAGATAAGTACTAACATTCTGAAGTATTCTTTTCAGTCTTTTCCTGTGCATGTGAGGACACGCCAATACACACACACACTTTATCTAGTTATGATCATACTGAACAGAGTTCTACTTCCTGTTTTTTTTTTCCTTTTTTTAATTTAACATCTTCTGAGCATTCTCCCAGCCATTAAGCATTGTTGGTGTGTGTGTGGTTTTAATGATTGTCCAATATTCTACCTTGTAGACAAATCATAATTTCTTACTCATTCCATGATAAAAGTGGACTCCCCTGGACACTACAGGTCTTTGTAAAGAAATCCCCTATAGGGGCTAGGGGCTCACTTACCTCCTCATTCTCTATCTTGAGAGTGGCCAGTCTGGACTGCAGCTGGTGGTACCGCATGAGCAATTCCGTCTGGACAGGCTGCTGAGCGCTGACCTGGCACACCTGCAGAAACAACAGCCACCACCTGCAGTTGCCCAGTGCCCTCATCACCTGTGTGAAGCTAGGACAGGTACTAGCATTCATATCCCTATTTACAGATGAGGAAACCGGGGCCTGGAAAGGTTAAGTGACTCACCCCAGTTCACACAGCTAGTATGTGGCAAAGCAAATGGTAACCAGTGTCTTTCTACTACTAAGTTCACATTCTCTCCATTACAATGGTGGCCTCTCAGTCATGATCTTCTGTATTTGTGCAGCACTTGAGGGTTTACTAGGAGCTTTAACATAATCTCATTTAATAATGAGACCAATTAGTTCATTTCAAGGCAGGAAGTTGTGATAAGAAAGCAATTGTGTGAGAGAAGCCAATGGAAAGCGGTGAGTGAGAAACAATGGAGAGCTCCCATTCCCAACAGGAAGATGTTTCAGAGTCAATGGTCAGGGAAGTGCACCCTTCTAACCCTTCTTCCCCAATTGGTTGATTGGGTGAGTGGTGGAAGAGGAAAAGAACTGAGAAATGCTGTTTCCCCAACCTCTACATCTATTCCATCCAGGACTCTATTGCTACCTGTGGGCTGGACCTGCCTACCTTGCCTCAGTCCCTCATTCTTCCCAGAATACAGCTGACAGCCTCAGGGACAATGGGATTGCATCACTGATGCAAGTTATTTACCACTAACTAGGCAACCCTGAGTGGTGCAAATGTTTAAAGCATTCAGCTGCTAATCAAAAGGTTGAAGGTTTGAGTCCACCCAGAGGTACCTTGGAAGAAAGGCAATCTACTTCTGAAAAATCAGCCATTGAAACCCTATGGAGCACAGTTCTACTTTGAGACACATGGGGCTGCCACGAGTTGGGACTGACTTGACAGCAGTTGTTTGAGGCAAAACCCAAACTTTGCAGTCACCAATGGTCAGTATGAGACCAGAATTTTCAGGTTCAGATGATGAGCTGGAAGAGCTGAACATGAGAGCAGAGGAGATGGATGGGTCAGGAGCAGTGTGGAAGCCCTGCATAAGTCCTCTCTCTTGCAAATGAAGACTGTAGGCAGAGTCATCTGAAGGACACAGGAAAAGCCATCTCCTGAAGGCCCCTTGTCCCTCCCTGCCATGCTAATATAGTAGGTGTCCCAGCTGAGCTCCCACTGGGATTCACAGACTAACTACATCCAATACACTCTTAGTTTGGGTCTCCCCAGCTCCCATGTGTATGAGTCAGATATTTGTAAGAAGAAAGAAGGGGGTCAATAGGCAAGAGTTCTGTGTACATGTCCCTGGAGGTAGAGATGGCAGAGATGGGGAGATAGATGTGGAATCTGGTGCCTATCCTCCTATATGGTTCCAGGGACCAGGGCCTGAGCCCTAGAGAGAAATAAGAATGACACAGAAAATTTCAAGGAGCTATTTGCATGAAGGGTTGTATGAAACTTGGCAGTGCTACTTTGAAGCTAGTGGCAAAGTGTCCTCTCCCCATTGTTTTTCCAGAATATAGTGAGGATCTGAGCAGCACAACAAACACTAAAGGATACTGGGTCTCCTGGTATGACCTAGGTTCCCAGGGTGGGAAGACAGGAAATACTCAGGCTGCTGGTTAGACCAACTGTTTGGAGCTGGGTGAGGCCTTGCCTTCGTGAGGTCCATGGGCATCAGAGAGAAGAACTTGAGGTGACTGTGTGAGGAGATGTGGGACTCTCTGGTGTCTCCTAGACAGCACTGGGAGGATTTTTAGGGGAAGCTAAGGTGTACACGATCACCCATCTCCCAATTTGTCAGAATGTGGTGGTTTGTGTGTTGCTATGATGGTGGAAGCTGTGTCCATAATATTTCAAATATCAGTAGGGTCATCCATGGTAGACAGGGTTCAGTGGAGCTTCCAGACTAAGAGAGTAGGAAGAAAGGGCTGGTGATCTACATCTGAAATTAAGCCAATGAAAACCCTATGGACCACAACAGAATATTGCCTGATATGATGATAACCAGCTCAACTGGGGCACCCACTACACCAGTGTATATATTGTCTGATACAGTGCTAGAAGATAAGCCCCTAGGTTGGAAGCCAGTCAAAATACATAATGGCTGCAACAATGGACTTGGGCAGACCAACAATCTATGAAGATGGTACTTGACAGAGTAGTGTTTTGTTCTGTTGTACATGGGGTCACAATGAGTTGGCATGGAGTTGATAGCAACTAACAATGATCAAGCACAAAGAAAAAAAACCCAAAAAAACCAAACCCAATGCCATTGAGTCGATTCCAACTCATAGTGACCCCCACTGGGTTTCCAAGGCTGTAAATCTTTATGGAAGCAGACTGCATCATCTTTCTTCCACAGAGAAGCTGGTGGTTTTGAACCACTGACCTTTTGGTTAGCAGCCAATTGCCTTAACCATTACTCCACCAGAGCTCCTTTAACAAGTCACAAGGCCCTGAAATTCTGCAGGTGTGTGTGGGGGGGATTTGAGTCAGTAAGGTTAGTGCAAGGTTAGTAATAAACTCCTTGGCTGGGGAAGCCCATAAACCATGAACTTGACTCCACTCCTCTGAGGTAAACATCTTGGAACCAGGGCTGATGTTCTCCTCCCATCTGTGTTTCAGAATCACAATGGAGAACAGACTGGAGCAGCTGTAGCACAGGCTCCCGGGAGAGGCCTACCTCATCCCCCATGTGGGGCTGGAATTCAAACTTGAGTGGTGGGCAGAAGACCTGGTTGCACATGTCCATGACTGTGTGCTTGTCACTTCTGGAATCCAGGTTGTCTACCGCATTCTCAATGACATCCAGCCCCTCGTGGCGTGAGGTCTCCAGGTTGTATTCGGCTGAGAGGTAGGTACGGAAGGTGCGGGCCAAACTGGCATGAAAGCCCAAGTCACAGCACTTAGAGAGAGACAGACACAGAAGGGAGGGTGAGAGTCTAATGCAGAACTGGTGACTGCTGGCACTGCTGTTTCCATCCTAGTGAGTCATGGTTACCTCCCATTCCACAGTCAGATCTGTCATCCCTGGTGTACTCTGAAATTGACCACAGAGAGCACACCAAAGCCTGTCCAGGGAGTTAGGGATTCATATTGGGCAACAGTAGAGCTAGCTCTTTTGCCACCTGCCCCACCAAGTCCACCATGTTCTTTCTCCTCATGTGCACCATATTATTTTCCCTCCCCATGTTTCACACATACAGCTGCCTATGCCTGGAGTACTCTGCCCCTCTTCTCAAGGCTGCTCTTCCTTCAGGTTTCAACTCAGAGGTTACTTCCTCCAGGAAGCCTACTCTGATAGTCTCTCTATTCAAAGTTTAGGTTGAGTACCCTTCCACCCCCTGACTATGACACCTATGACTCTGCATTGCAATTGCCTATCAATGTATCTCCTACAGTGTCAACTCCATGAGGGAAGAACTCCTGAGTGGCCTATTGCTGCTCCCCAGCACCTAGCTCAAGTCCTCAACCATAGTAGGTGATCAACAAATATTTGGCAAGTGAATAAATGAAAGGGCTTAAAATTGAAAAAGAAAGTCAAAGGGCAGAAAGAAGGAGGGCTCTGGGTATTTTGAGGGCAGAACAAGGCAGGACAGCTCCCAATGCCTTGGAGTGATAAAAGGCTACTCTTTGCAGTGATGAGGAAGGCAGTGACCTTCCAGCTTCCCCATAGGATACAAAGGGTCAGAGCACAAGGATCCATCAACCAGTATTGAGCCTTATTGACCATCTATTAGGGCAAATACCTGTCTGTGTGGGAAGGGAAAGATGAGAAACAGTCCTCACTCCAACTGCCCCTGATGGCGCGGCTCACAGTGTTACTTCTCCAAGCCTGTTGTCCTTAGAGTGTGTCCCGCACAGTTGGTACTTAGGAGTCAATGTTCCTTTCTTCACTTATTAAATTGCCCAATTTCTCCCCAAGATAAAGTCCCCATGAAAAGCCAATCTGTGTAATTCTGTCTTATTCACTAATTGCTTTCACAAGTGCATGTGTGTGTGTGTGCAGCTAGATGACTGGACATGGGGTAAAGGGGATATAAACATACAAGAATGTCCTTTACCATACTGAGAAATCCCCCAGGGCATCAACTGTGATTCACCCTGGTACCTCCAAATCTAGTAAACGGCCTAGCGTCAAGGAGGGACTTGGTGAGTGCATGTTGAAGATATGAATGCCCAAGTCAACTATGCAGGGCACCATCAGAGGCACACCTTCCACCTATGGAATAGAAACCATGAGATAAGAGTTATCTCCCAAGCCTCAAACCCTCACTGTCATTCCCCTCCAGAAGAGCCACTCCAGAATCCTGGCTAAGGGCAAAGGCTAGACCCTCCTTCAGCCCCAGACTCCCCAGAGCACTCACATCGATTAGATCAGAGACATCATGGATGTAGTATTTGCTTATAGCTGCATTGGTGGCTGCCAGATTCAGCAAATAGTCATTCCGAGCCTTTGTGCATTTCAGCTTGTTCTCAGAATACTTTGCCTGCCTCTGGAAGAAGAAAAGGGTAGATGTAAGACCCAAGCCATTGACAGGAGTGATCTTTGACTTCATTTATGATGACTGCTTCTAAGTTAATCCCACACACACCTGGAATGCCTCTCAATGCCAGGTGAGTAAGATGTTAATTCTGTACTCAAAAAGCTCACCTTATTGTTCATATGGGAGCTCTGGTAGTATAGTGGCTAAGGCACTTGACTGCTAACCAGAAAGCTGGCGGTTCAAACCCACCAGCCACTCCTCAGAAGGAAGATGGGGCAATCTACTTCCGTAGTGATACTGCCTCGGAAACCTAAGGAGGGGTGGCTATGAGTCGGGACCAACTTGATGGCACATAACAACAACAACAACATTGTTCATATGCAGCCAATGACAACTATGATACTATTTGACAAGCATACTATTGACAGATTTCTGGTCCTTGGACTATACTACCTCTCTCTGGCATCCACCCCAGGCATCATGAATAAATTAGAGAATTCCTTCTCTTTGAGCCCAGACAAGATCTTCAAGTCAGCAACCCTGACAATTGCATCCAATGGGTCAGAGTTAGATGAAAAGATGGAATCTTTTTGTGTTCTCTATCCCAAGGCCACTGTTAGGGATTGAATTGTCCTCCCTCCCCCCACCCCAAAACATGGGTTGGAATTCTAACCCCTTTACCAGTGAGTGCAATTGTATCTAATATAATCACCTTCAACAATGCAAACAAATGTAATATAATCAATCAGTTGAGGTCATGTCAGTGTAGGGTGGATCCCAAATCTAATCACTTCTGAGTTATACAAAGAGCAGCATAGACATAGGGTCATGTGCACATACACTGAGGAAGGCAGATGCCATGTAAAGATTGTCTATAAGCCAAGGAATCAAGGAATGCCTGGAATGTTGACAAGAAAGGAATCAACACAGCCAATAGCCTGATTTAGACTTTTAGCCTCCAGAACAGTGAGAAAATAAATTTCTTTAAAATCACCCACCATAGTATTTCTGGTACAGCAGCATTATGAGACTAAGATAGTCCTGGACAAAAGGTGTGGGAGTAGAGAGAAGGAAACGTGTAACTCTGCTGTGATTATTGGAGAATTTGTGAAGATGGGCTGTTGGAGTGGGCCCTGAGAAACATGCTGCCAAGGTGGGCCTTGGAGTGTAAATAAGAGATTGTTGCTCAATATCCTCCAAGTCTTCCCAGCACCAATGTATAAAATCCACACTGCTGACACTGGCCTGTACATTGCTCCTTGATTGCTGTCCACCTCTAGAGCAGATTCCCATCTCCCTCACACCCCACCCTTCTCACCCAGCTGAAGCCTCATCCTCAATCTCTCTGCTTGGCAGATGTTCTTCCAAATTTATATCCCTGCTCCTTCAAGTCATCCAGGGCCTTGTCCAAGGTCACATGGCCACAGTGGCCTTTGATGACAACCTTGACTAAAACACCCCCACACTCTCTATCACCTTGCCTTGCTCTATTTGTCTTCATAAGCACTTTCCATGACCTGAAATGTGTGTGTGTGTGTCTTTGTTTGCTTGTTGATTGTGTGTCTCCACTAGAAAGTAAGCTCTGTGACATCATGGACTTCAACTGCTTTGTTGGTCTGCAGCACCAGATGGCTGGAACAGGTAAGGGGGAGAGCCCCCAGGCAGGAAGTAGTAGGAGCCAGGGCTGACAGCTGGAACAGGTAAGGGGCCAGAACAGGTAAGGGGGAGAGCCCCCAGGCAGAAAGCAGAAGCCAGTTTGGAACAGATAAGGAAGACGAACTTGTCTATGTGTTTGTAGTACTGGGGTAGCTTGTGTGTTGCTATGAGGTTGCAGGCTGTGCTACTGGTATTTCAAATGCCAGCAGGGTTGCCCATGGTAGATGGGTTTCAGTGGAGCTTCCAGATTGAGACAGACTAGGAAGAAGGAAGAGGCCACTCACTTCTCAAAGAATTGGCCAGTGAAAACCTTATGAATAGCAGAGACATGCTGTCTGATACATTACTGGACAATTTTATGAATAGACCTGAAACATTGTTTGATATAGTGCCGGAAGATGAGCCCCTCAGATCGGAAGGCACTCCAGATATGACTGGGAAAGAGCTGCCGCATCAGAGTAGAGCTGACCTTAATGATGTGGATAAAGTAGAGCTTTCAGGACCTCCATTTGCTGATGTGGCATAACTGAAAATGAGAAGAAACAACTGCAAACATCCATTAATAATCAGAACATGGAACATATGAAGTATAAATCTAGGAAAGTTGGAAGTTGTCAAAAATGAAATTTCAGCATTAGTGAGCTGAAATGGACTGATTTTGGCCATTTTGAATCAGATAACCATAGGATCTACTATGCCAGGAACGACAAATTGAAGAGGAATGGCATTCATCATCACAAAAGATGTTTCAAGATCCATCCTAAAGTACAATGCTGTCAGTGATAGGATAATATCTATATGCCTACTAGGAGGAGTTCTGGTGGTATAGTGCCTAAGGCATTGGACTGCTAACCAGAAGGATGCCTGTTCAAACCCACCAGCCACTCCTCAGAAAGAAGATTGGGCAATCTACTTTGGTAGTGACACTGCTTTGTAAACCCAAGGAGGGGTCACTATGAGTTGAACTGACTCAATGGTAGTGAGTTTGTTTGATTTTTACAAGGAAGGCCAGTTAATACTATTAATATTCAAATTTATGCAATAACAACCAATGCCAAAGATGAGGAAATGGAAGATTTTTACCAACTTCTGAAGTCTGAAATTGACTGAACATGCAATCAAGATGTGGTTATTATCATGGGTGATTGGGATGAAAAAAATTGGAAACAGAGAAGAATCACCAGTAGTTGGAAAATTTGGCCTTGGTGATGGAAGTAACGCTGGAGATTGCATGATAGAATCTCGCCAGACCAATGACTTATTCATTGCAAATACCCTTTTTTCAACAGCACAAATGGCAACTATACATGTGGACTTTGCCAGATGGAACACACAGGAATCAGATGACTACATCTGTGGCAAGAGGCGATGGAAAAGGTCAATATCTTATGCCAAAACAAGGTCAGGAGCTGATTGTGGAACAGATCATTGACTGCTCATATGCAAGTTCAACCTGAAATTGAAGACAATTAATACAAGTCCATGAGAGCCAAAATCTGACCTTCATTATATCCCTCCTGAATTTAGAGACCATATCAAGAATAGACTTGATGCATTGAACACCAGTGACCGAAAACCAGAGGAATTGTGGGATGACATTAAGAACATCATCCATGAAGAAAGCAAAAGGTCATTAAAATGATAGGGAAGGAAGGAAAGACCAAAATGGATGTCAGAAGAGACTCTGAAACTTGCCCTTGAATGAAGAGTAGCTCAAGCAAATGAAGAAATTACAAGATAAAAGAGCTGAACAGAAGGTTTCAAAGAGCAGCTCGAGCAGACAAATTCTATTATTATAACGAAATGTGCAAAGAAACAGAGTTGGAAAGCCAAAAGGGAAGAGCACGCTAGGCATTTCTCAAGCTGAAAGAGTTGAAGAAAAAGTTGAACCTCGAGTTGCAATACTGAAAGATTCTACAGGCAATGTGTTGAATGACACAGGAAACATCAAAAGAAGATGGAAGGAATACAGAGTCACTGTACCAAAAAAGAATTGGTCAATGTTCATCCATTTCAGGAGGTGGCATATGATCAAGAACCAATGGTATTGAAGGAAGAAGTCAAAGCTGCACTGAAGGAACTGGCGAAAAACAAGGCTCCAGGAATTGACGGAATAGCTATTGAGATGTTTCAACAAATGGATGTCCCACCGGAGGCACTCACTTGGCTAGGCCAAGAGGTTTGGAAGAAAACTACCCTACCAACTGACTGGAAAAGATCCATATTTGTACTCATTCCAAAGAAAGGTGATCCCACACAATGTGGAAATTATCGAACAATATCATTAATATCACACACAAGTATCTTACTGAAGATAATTCAAAAATGGCTGCAGCAGTATATTGACAGAGAACTTCCAGATGTGCAAGCTGGATTCAGAAGAGGACGTGGAACCAGGGATATCATTGCTGATGTCAGATGGATCTTGGCTCAAAGCAAATACCAGAAAGATGTTTACTTGTGTTTTATTGACTATGAAAAAGCATTTGATTGTGTGGATCATAACAAATTATGGATAACATTGAAAAAAATGGGAATTCCAGGACACTTGATTGTACTTATGAAGAACCTGTACATAGACCAAGAGGCTGTCATTCAAGCAGAATAAGGGGACGCTGCATGGTTTAAAAAGCAAGAGGGAGTGCATCAGGTTGTGTGCTTTCACCATACTTATTCAATCTGTATGTTGAGCAGACTATATGAAGAAGAGCGTGGCATCAGGATTGGAGGAAGACTTATTAACAACCTGTGATATGATGATGACAGAACTTTGCTTGCTGAAAGTGAGGATGACTTGAAACACTGATGAAGACTGAAGACTTCAGTCTGCAGTATGGATTACACCTCAATATACAGAAAACAAAAATCATCACAACTGGAACAATAAGCAGCATCATGATAAATGGAGAAAAGACTGAAGTTGTCAAAGACTTCATAATACTTGGTTCTACAATCAACACCAATGGAAGCAGCAGTCAAGATATCAGACAATGTATAGCATTGGGCAAATCGGCTGCAAGAGACCTCTTTCAAGTGGTGAAGAGCAATGATGTCTCCTTGAAGACACAAGCCACGGTATTTTAAATTACCTTTTATGCATGTGAGAGCTGGACAATGAATAAGGAAGACTGAAGAAGAGTTGATGCTTTTGAGTTGTAGTTTTGGTGGAGAATGCTGTAAGTACCATGGATTG